TGAGTGTAGACTGAGTGATATGTGCGCGTAGAAGTTTCATGGTTATTATTTGTACATTCCCGCATACCTTATTTAGCACAATAAGTGATAACTGCACTGAAGCCATAGTTGGGCGTGTACTTAAGTTAACTGTAATATAAAAATGGCTGCTGAACTGAGCAGCAAGAGCCTGGACCAGAGACCTTGGAAGCAGAATTTGACCTCACCTTGTTGTACCAGTCACTTTGTACCACTCTGAAGAGATTTGTAGTTTCCAAGCACACAAACCATGTTTGTTATTGACACATGAAAAGCTCTTGATCAATGATCATCCTCCTTTAGTCTGGTCCCTTGGGACCCACAACATCAAGAGTAAGGATAATAATAGAAGTGAAAGAATATGTGGTACATGTACTTTTGAGACGGCTGTTAACTGCTATTGATCTTAAAAACAAAGTATTACAGATCTGAGTTCACTGGAGCAGAGGCTTCTGACTCTTGGCTCCATGTCCTCTTTCTTGATGCTTTAGGGCGCTTAGGTGTAGTGGCATGGCGCTCATCAAGATTAGATGCTCTCAATCTGTTGTAACAGTCATGATCATCTGGATTGTGTAGTTCTGACTCTTCCTCTTGAAACATCGTGACTACACGTGTGGGTGGGTGCACCATATAGGTTATTAAAAACACACCCATTTACTATCATGGCTGCTGATGTTTAAACAGGTCAAAGAAAGTGCTAAACAAACTGTGAAAGACTTCTACGCGCACATATCACTAGCAGCATAGGGCAGTTAGACACTCTCCCCTCCTCCTTATCCACTCTTGTTAATATGTATCAGAAAATGTAAAAATTGGGGTGATTTCAGAGCCATTTTTTGGAGTTAACCATGGGCTATAGTACAGGTGAAATTAGCATATAAAAATGAGACACTTCCTCTATCTCACCTCAATGCTGTCAGAGAAGAGGAACAATGCTATAGACAATGGTTTATTAGTCTTTCCATTATTGCTAATATTTAACTCCAACACATCATGTCTTGAAATAAACCAACGATGAGATGAAAGGACCGTCGCCTAAAGGGGAGGAGTCAGTTATTAAAGACCACACCTACTAATTACCGGGATGTCCTCAATGTCACGTATAAGTTCAAACATGTGCATCTGCTTCTCTGTCTTCCTCTTGTCTTCATTTATGTGTCTAGAAGAATTAATAATAATAAATAAATAAAATACATGTACATGTAGTGATGTATAACTCACTCCATTACATTCTTAAGTTTTTCAACTGATTCCTCCAACTGCTTGTAATCA